TTTTACATTGCAAGAAGAAATATTAGTTGAGCACTGCATACTAGAGTGAAATTATTGTAAAAATCTATTTAATTCCAACATATTATTCTATGGTAGAAAATAATTCTGAATATGAAGCATGTATAAATTATATAAGTTGAAGATATCCATATACATCATCTGTGAATACATCTATGTAGTTCTACTTATTGGCAACATTTCTAACAAAAAGTGCATTAACATGTTAACAATGGAAATAAGTAACTTGTAGATTCTAGGCCTGCTTCTGATCCATGCACAGATCAGAGGTCAAAAGTAGTGATCATCAACTGGGAATGACTCTCAGCCTCTATTAGTCAGATCCTACCTGGTTTTCATGAAAAATAAAATGGACATCCAAACATTAATACTTAAGTAACAGTAACAGTGTTGGGCTGTGATCCAAATTCTGTTTGAATTAATAATAGATTTTCCTTTAAATTCAGTAGTCTAAGGATCAGGCCCTTTGAGTACTGCCTTGTTGAAACGTGTCCTTGCTTTACTTTCAACCACATGGATGTTTATGTTCCAACAGAAATGGGATTGCAATCTCCAACAGCAGCCAGAAGGCAGGCACAATTTAGAAAGAGAATCAATACCCATGTGTAGGTTTCAGGAGCTGTTTGGTTACAGAGATACATAGGTGAGAGCTTAAAGTGTGAGTTTTCAAAATGTTTCAAAGTTTTCAAATTATATCCTAAAAATATGGAGATGCCAAAATGACATAATCTAGGCTTTTTTTTTTCCTATAACACAGCTAAATTGAGCAGGATGTCTTTACCAAAAATAATTTCTCAACCACAGGAGTGAGTTGAATGGGGTGATGGAAATCCCAATGTTGCTTTCCTCTAAGGAACAGACACACTCCCTGTGCCTGAATGCAGTGTGATAAGAATGACCACTAGTCCCAGGGCAGTTCCCTTCAGAAAAGAATAGCACAACTAACTGAGCAATTATTAACCCCTTATTCCTAATTTAATTATTTAATTTGGCAGTAAAGCATAAGGAGTTTTGGCACACGGTAAGGGAAGTGCATGGGAAAGCTGTCTTTGCACTAAAATTGGAGGGGATGTCATGAGTTTGGTGAAAATCATGGGAAGAACTTGATTCAGCACTTTCCAAACTTTGTGCAAAATTATCCACCCTGAACACTTTCTGTTAAGAACAGCACTCATCTGCATCATCACACACTTCCTTGAAAATATTATATAAATAAAATAACTTTGTGGACCAAGGGTCATGAACCACCAGTAATTTTAGTTAATATAATTATACTTGTTACCATCAGAATTACAGTGGTACTTATTTTGTTCCGTCCCTTTTCCTATATCTCTTCCGCTTTCATTATCTTTCTGTTAGCATTTCAAAATGTTCTTCCTTTTTTTCTTCGTGCTTCAGTAAAACAACAGATTCTTTTGGGGGGAGGGGATGGGAAGGGGATTTGTGTTGTGCCTAAAGGGCAGTCATCATTTCTCTGTACCATTCCCTTGCCTTGGCCTACCTACCTTGTCTTCACCTTCTTAGTTTTTGTGTTTTTTTATTTATTTAGACAAGAGTATTAGGTGATGATGTTAGAAGGAGAGACAGGTACACAGGAAATCCTTCTCTTAGACTATGAAGAATGTTGAGATTTACAGTAAGGCTTCAACTTGTTCTCCAGAACAAGTATAAGCCACTCAAAGAGCATAAAGGACTGTTAAGAAAAACTAATTTGTCGCCCTCGTGTATGTTCACTAATGTACGTGTAAAATACCACCACCTGCCATTAACGAAATGTAATATTCTGTCACCCTCTAGTGGTGGGTCTACACCACCATTCTCCAGCTAGTTGTGATGGAAGATGTTCTCACTACATGTCTAGAAGAAGACTTTTTAGGATTTAGGATTTATTGGGCCCCAGTGTTTGGTGGCCTGTGTGTATGGATTTGTAATTTTGGTCTCCACTGCATATATCTGAATTTTGTCCTAGAACTTCATCCCATAAATTAGTGATGTAAAGTGTCTGTGTTGGTTTGGGGCAGATTAATTAGAGGTTTGGGAGAGCTTTTTAAGTTGTGTGTTCTTATCCTTGGATAAGTGAAGAGAATATTGGCTGAAATCCAACCTGCAAAGCAGGGAATGTAAGTGTGTATTTGAAACCCTTATGGACAGTCAAATCCATTATTTCTTAATTCAAATTTTTACCTATAAATAAAGTCCTTGTCTAAGACTGATACTGCACAGGATCGGTGCAATGCCCATTCTAGTCTGTGAAAGCAGCAATTGGGCTCAAAATCATAGTGTGACCTATGTGTCATACATGCTTCTTGTTTTATTTCACAGCAAAGTGATATCACAAAGCTGAAAAACTTGACACCACCTATTTTATTAGGTCCAGTAATACTTACAAAATATGTGTTTCTGACCTAGCTGCAGAAAAAAGCTGAAAGTGCAGGATGCTGGAGAATGTCATTCAATGGGTTCACTTATCAAGATTCCAGTAACTGATAATATTGATGTGTTTTACACTGATATTGGACAATTTGGTTTCAGATCACATATGACTTAAAGCATCCTAAGTTACAGCAAAATATGTGGTCTTATACTGAAGCGTTGTGCTTTTTACTGGATCAAGAGGTGGTGAAATATATAGAAAGCTGATTCATAGCTTGAGACAACTGAAAGTCCCTTTTGATCACTTTGCAGAGCTCTTCTCAGAGGTATAATAAGTGTTATTCATCTCTGACCAGAGACTCTGCAATTTCTCTTAATACAATTCAGCATTTAAAATATCAAATTATACTATCTATATGTCTGTAATTTTATCAGTGTGGGCCATGCATCCACCACTTACGTGTGAACTCAGAATTGTCCAGTAATTAGATTAGTTCCCTGTTAATTTGTTAAAGAGTATATGGCAGCATCTTTGTAGTTACAAATGAAATAGAAGTGTATATCAGTATGTCAGCAAAGGCTTTTCACAGCACTCACCTCACCAGGAGGATTAGTTTAGCAAATCTGCCCTTAGACACTTCAGGAGCAATTATCCCTGCTTGGACCACAGAGAGCCTGCCAGCTACATCATGGAAAGACAAACTGTTTCCATGAGGGGACTGTGCTCTCAGTAAAACTTCCAAGTCTCTCAAGAAAGAACACAGCTTGCACCTCCTGTAATGTGTAATAAGCATGGGACACCCAAGAGGAGTCTCCTGACCATGCTGCTAATTAACAAACCTTCTGAATTGCTAAAATTTCAGCAAACCTACCAGTCATTGCTTCTACACTCAAGAGTGTTCTAAAAATACAACTGGGAAGGGGGAAAAAAATTCTTCCCATGTTTTCATGAACATTAATTCAGTGTTTAAAAAATAATATCCAAATAATGGCAGATTTTTCAGCTACTTTCAGGCTTTTATGTCTGCATCTGAATCCTGGAAACATGAACATAATATATATTGCACACGTGTACACCCACATGTGAGCAGAGCTAGGCAGATCCACAGAGATTTGCATTAATTTTTTAATATTCATTTAATTTTCCTTCATTTACTGAAGCAAACAAGGGGTTTTTGACTAATGGAACTGCAGTTACACATAGGGAGAAGGAAGTTATCATTCTCATCTTCATCATCACATATAATGAAGCAATTTCAGTAATGCTCATATCAATGGATTGTTGGTGATGGTGCATCCTTCAGAAGGAATACAAATAGACTTCACTGACCCTGGAGTGCTGAGAGTAACATGAAACTTACTCTGACTTGTAAACTGAGCAAACATGACACGGAGATCACAGAATAAGGGCGTGTATTCCTCTTTCAGCCTTGTTTTGACGAAGTGACTTTCTCCAGAGGGACATTTCTGCCTTTTTTTTTTCCAGCATGTTTCACCTTTCACTGACTATTAATCCCAGTATGACTTAACTTCAAATTATGATTCCTACCTATAAGCATATGTGAGTTAATTCTTAATGTTTTTTCTCATTTATTTGAGCACACAGCACTCCAGATATCTAAGAAAATAAATGTATGAAAACAATTGAGTAAATTGAGTTTAACCAAATGTAGCAAGTTATAAATATTAGAACAAAAAGTATTATTAAAATTCATATTCATTAATGGAGAAGTTTTACTATTAGTAACTTTAAGAAATCAGGTCAGACCATAATATTTCTGAAAACTGCGGTTTCTCATTGTCTAAGTAGAATTCTTCTACTTTTAGACTAAAGATTACTTTCCTATATCTGGTGCAGGCTAACATTTATATAGCTATAAGTTTTAAACAGAATTCTCAGAGCCTTATGAATTGGATTAATAAAGCATGTTTTGCTAAAAGAGAAATTATTCAGAGTATTCCTATTTCTCTTAAAGTGTGGCCTATGTAATATGTTTGATGACATGGATAGCACTCCAACACAAAATATTTCAAAATAAAGACATTGGCACAGCAACTAGTGTATTTGTTCCATGCAGCAGAACAGCTGAGGATGGGATTTAGCCTCTTCATCATGTTAACTATTTGATAAATAGCTTTTAGCAATATCAATGTATATAGTGAAAGACCTTAAAAATCTTATCCATGGTTTGCAGGTGGAGAAACAAGGCATGTCAAAAATCACTACAGAGTTTTGCTGTAACCCACCCTCCTAATTCTCCTTTCAACTAGGCCATGAAATCTGAGGACAATAATAGTGGCTGCTTATGTGAAAAAATGTGTCAGGCTTGGTTGCCTTGGTTGTGTAACATATTAGATCAGTGATGACAGTTCCAAGTTTGGATAAAGAAAATGCCAAGGTAGACCAGGAAACAAAGGGTATTTTTACAATGTTGAAGGTAAAAGTGCAATTATTTTTCTAGAGTAATAACCAAACTCCATTTCAAGGAAAATTTGATGGTCCAGATAAATGTTTGCCTATGGTGTGGCTCTTAAACAGACTTCAGGGGGGTAGAACAGCCATATTTGGTGACTTCTAAGCATTTTCTGATTTTTGTTTTTCCCAACAGAGCTACAGCGAACCTGTTGATGTTAAAGCCAACCCACAACCTCAGATGATGAATTCAAAGCAGTCAGTGTTTCATGGGCCTGCCCAGGCTCACTCCGCACTGTACCTCAGTTCCCACTACCACCAACAACCAGGAATGAATCCTCACATCACCGCCATGCATGCCAATATCCCCAGGAACATAGCGCCCAAGCCCAACAACCAAATGCCAGTGACTGTTTCCATAGCAAACATGGCTGTGTCCCCTCCTCCACCGCTTCAGATTAGCCCCCCTCTGCACCAGCATCTCAACATCCAGCAGCACCAGCCGATCCCAATGCAGCAGTCCATTGGAAACCAGCTACCAATGCAGGTCCAGTCTGCTTTACACTCACCTACAATGCAGCAAGTAAGTTGGGGCTTTTCAGTTCTCTTGGGAATTATTTTATTTCTGGGGCGGGCGTGGGGAGGGGAGTCATCCAGAAGTTGGCATAGTGAGAGAGATTTAGATTAGCTTTAATTTACAGATTCCAAAACCATGGTACTATAGGCTTGGTCTTTCAGGGGCAAGAACAAAGGAGTTTAACTAGGTGATGGAAAACTGCAGTAGAAGTGTTTGTGCTAGCGACAATGTCCATCACTGTCCATAGATCTGTCTGCAAATCTGTGACTACCCTCAAACAGTGAAATGCAAAGCCTTCAGGAGTCACACTTTGCAAACAAAATGCAGGCATGTCTAGAAAAAATATGATTGTAGCTTATGCTGTTATTCTTGTGCTGACTGTGATGTGTAACTATCAGAGGAAACATAAAGCAACCCAGGCTGCACTGAACATGCTAGATTAAGTGAACATGAGTGTTTTACATTACTCCACATTCACAGCTTCATTTTGCTAAATAGATATACCTTCTTTTTACTGGAAATAAATGGGCTGTGTCCACCATCCCAATATGGGGCTTTTTTGTTTGTTTTTTTTTTCCCCTACTCTGAATGTTTTAGAGAGTTGATTCTCAATATATTTCCTGTGAGTTCTGAGTTAATGCAGACCATCCATGGTATTGTGCCTTCCAGGCTTACAGAGGAATATAAAGAGAGCAGATAAACTGTTGATTGCATGAGAGAAAATTTATTTTTGTATTGTATGAGATCTGACTATCAATAATAATATCTTGCTTTGCAAAGTGGCATTAAAATGAAAATTTTTTTGAATGGAATTGCAAGAATCTATAAAATTTGTATACACAAAACTTGTCAGTATCAGCTGATAATACATAGTCATGAACTTGCTCCATGTTTTATATTTCTTTAAAAATTCACCTTTGCTAACAAATTTTTTTGAATGGAATTGCAAGAATCTATAAAATTTGTATACACAAAATTTGTCAGTACCAGCTGATAATACATAATCATGAACTTGCTCCAATGATTTATATTTCTCTAAAAATTCACCTTTGCTAACAAGGTTGAACCTGAAGTCTCAGAGCAGTGAGAGACAAAGCAATACTCTGGTTCATTTACCAAACATGAGAAATTACATCTGTGACAGCCACCTGTTGAGATCCTATAGCTATATTTCAACGAGTTTTTACTGCACAGTCACTCAGTCTTCAAAGTTCAGATTGTTTGCCAGCTTCAGTGTCACTTGTGTATTAGCTGTCCAATGCAGAATTCCTTATGTCTTTTCCAGAATTGTTAGGCATAATTTACTGAATAGATTTGAAAATCTGTCTCTATTTCATGAATTAATAGTAGAGTTGGGGCTAGCAAAAGATGCCATGCAGATGTTAGATACTTACATATTTATACGTGAACTATCATTTTTGTATGAATAAACTCTTAGGCAGAAAACGTAATGTAGTATGAATCTGCTAATGTTTTATTTTGCCAAGTTGAAAGCTTGTAGCATAAGGTGTGTGCATCCATGGTTTGAAAGTACTTTCAGTCATCTGTGGGATATACGGCACACAGCTGACTTGTTTTTACCTTAAGAAAAACATACAGGACACTTGGTTGTAGAAAACAGGTCTCTAGAAGTCAGAATGTAGACCTTCATCATGATGAGTCTTTTTGCAACTAGGGAAAATTACAGTTAAGTAAAAATGCTGTACCTCTGTGTTCCTGTTAAACTCACAAAATTTTAGGTCAAATGCTTTTTACCAACTCATATTCCTTAGTCAGAAAGGCTGATGCTTTTAATGAAGATACCGTGGTGAGATATTTCTGTTTCACTCAAGGTGCTTGTGGCTTGTTGAAATGCTTCACTGTCATGCTTCACCTACATGTCTCTGTAATCACTGTAATATCTACAAGCCATTAATATTTCTTACACTCTTGCTTTTGCTTTCCACTCATGCCGCTTTTGAGCTCTGGAAAGTCTATGTCATTTCACTTTGGAATATTTGTTTGGGGTTTTTTTTAACATACAACAGCTTATAGAGTTTGTGATTCGAATTTAAATGTAGCAAAATATACATTACATTATAGGGCTAGAGGTGTACTAACAATACCATGATTTGCCATGACAGAACAGAACAGAACAGTGGTATCCTGCTCAGTTTCTTAGGTATGACCCTTTTTAGACAAGAAATGGTAGAAAACAAAAAGCCAGGATTTCATACTGTGTTAGAACATAGAAGACAAGTTGGTCACCAGGAGGCAAATAGCAAAAAGTCAAGAGATTACAACCTAAAAGTAAGGACCTTTCTGACTCAATTGTCAAAGGACTCTGCTCTCCCTCCTGGTTGAAATAGAGCAAACACTCTGCTGATCACAGAGCTTGTTAAAGAGGAAAAGATGTAATGGAAGAAAAATGGAGCTCTTCCAGCAGCTCAGAGTCAACAGCAGTGGGTAGAAAGAGGAGGCACCATACTGTCTGTCTGGCCTATGGTGAGTAGGAAAGGGGAGGTCTGGATGTGATGTTCCGTCCCAAACAACGCTGTGTAGAGCACTCTGCTGAATAAAAAGCCAAGAAGAATGGGAGAATATCAATTCTGAGAAAGCAGAGCAATAGTTGCTTTTAAAGCAACTTTTTTTCACTTCCTCTTCTCTCAAGTTGTTTTATTTCCTCCATTCTTAGGTATGGCCACCATAAACCTTTCCAAAGACTGCATGAAGGCAGCAAGAGCAGAAACCAGCTAACATACCACTCCCTAGAGAGTGACTTGCAACAGGAGTCATTTTCCTCTTTGGAACCCTCAGCACTATTCATACTAAATAGACTAATACACTATAGTAAAAAAAAAAAAAAAAAAAAAAAAAAAGGCAAATTTCATAATGTCACACTGCAGCATGGAGCTTAATAGGCAAGAGAAGAGTAAGTCTGCCAACAGCTTCCCAGCAGAGCAGTTTTCTACTGAAGGTTACTAAATAGACTAATACACTATAGTAAAAAAAAAAAAAAAGCAAATTTCATAAGGAGTTGGCTCACCTGGCTGGGCAGCTTCACTGCAGACTGTGTTGGAGGCATGTTAGAAGTAGAAATCCATGGAGCTTAATAGGCAAGAGAAGAGTAAGTCTGCCAACAGCTTCCCAGCAGAGCAGTTTTCTACTGAAGGTGTTGGCTCACCTGGCTGGGCAGCTTCACTGCAGACTATGTTGGAGGCATGTTAGAAGTAGAAATCAATTGTGGGTTTTCTTTTTTTGTTTTGTTTTGGGGTTTTTTTGTTTTGTTTTGTTTTGTTTTGTTTTTGTTTTCTTTTTTTTTTTGTCCTTTTTTTCCCAAACATCTCTCTTCGAAATAGTTTCTGTCTCACCAGTGTGACACTCAACAGTAGCAGGCTCTGCAAATCCCTGCTCTCAACATATCCCCTGCTTGAACTCTGGCTCTGTGACATTTGGTCATTTTCTCCAGGAAAAGGAGGATAGTTTCATATCAAAGGCCATCTTGTTGAATGTCTGAAGGACTGCCAGCTCCAGGAAAATCCACAAAGAGATCCAGATTTCAGTCCTGGCAGGCAGGAACACAGTTCTCAAAAAAACATTGTGTGTGAAATTCACAAACTCTTCTATGGAAACTTTGAGGAGGGTCTGCTAAGAAGTGCTGACCTGAGGAGACAGTTCTGTTCCCACTGCTTCCAGGACAATGAGCTGGTCGTGATCAGCTCTGCAGGGAACAGCATGTCCTTCTCCATATCCAGCACTCCTTGCCTGCACGTGTGTAGCTGCCAAATCAAGAGTGACTGCCAGCTGGAGGAGGGCAGTCTCCTTTGAGGATCCACAAAAACGACAGAACATTAAAAATATCAGAAATGTTGGTAGCCAAAAGACCACAGTGGCTACACAATTTTTGATATTTTTAAAATCAATTAACTCTGTGGAGTATGCAGCTGATGCAATGCATCCAAATTGTTCTGAAATGCAATGTAAAATTATGGTATTAGCATTTTAGTCATATGCCTAGCATTAGTAATTATTTTTTAATTTCATTTAAACAATCTTCTCTATTTTGAGTTAACTAAATTGTAATTTCTCAGAAGTCGATTTTGTCTTTTTTCTCTTCTGTTCCAACAGTTAATGAATAAATTTTAGAAGGGTCACTACCGTAGACCTTTGTGGTGCTTGTTTACAGCGATAATCCTTTAAACTGTAAAAAAATTACAATTATCTCTATTCTCATACTTAGCTTAAAATTAGATCCTGATTTTTATTTTCTTTAACTTCTAATTCTGAAATTCATTGTATTTTTCTGAAATATCATTAACAGGAACTGTGTTAAAGTTTTACTTTTCAAAGTCAAAATCCACTTTGCTGTAGTTTTTTTTTATCCACCTTTGACATACAGGTAGACTCACAGTAGATTTGAGGAGTGTGGTTTTTCTTTCATTAAATGCTCTTATGAGCATCTAATCACTGTAAAATTTTTTGACTGATACATAGTTTTCTCTCTCGAGTCTGTTTCTTGGGTTTGACATGATGTTTAATTTTTACTCAGTTGGCCTTAGATGATTTGATTATTAACCCTTGTCATTCAAATCAGCATAATTTCTCCAAAGTTCAGGCTGAAACAGCAGCTGGAGCTGCAGCCTATTTTCACTTGCAAGGTTATTCTTTCCTTTCTCTACTCACATGGATATTTGTGCCTCTTTCTGAGCATTCACCTCTACCCAGCCTGTTCACTGTGCTCTTTGGTGAGAAGAGTGATGAAACTGAGGATTCTCTCCCCCCTTAATACACCCAGATCTTGTTAAAGAACACTTTTAAGTAGCCTGACTGGAAGCATCACCTTCCCTACTCAAAATCCTCCACCCAAGCATTGCATGGGATGGTCAGTCCCATGTCCAACTCTGTCCCATTTCAGTTCACAGGTATAGGAAGCAAAACCAGATTCTTAATGTCTAGTAGCCATGGCTGCAAGTACATATGCAAAACAAAGCACCAGAAGATTAATGTATGCCACTTTTTTTTTTTTAATAATAACTCATTTCAGTCTACTTTTAGGGGTTTTTTTCTTTAGAAAACAAATGTATACAGCAAGATGATTGCACAGCCTGCCAAAAATAATAACCTCATTTTTTCTGGTATATATTTTATATACAGCAAACTCAGGAACCTGCTGGATTTGTCCAGATTTCTTCTTCTTTTTTGTTAAGCTTTGTCTTCGAATGAGGTCAAGAGAAAAAAAAATCATTAATATCTGTCAACTTCCTTTATAACCTTAAGGAAAAATCTTTGTATGATATCACACAGACAGATTTTCAATTTCCTTGTGTAATAAACAGATGCTTTAGGATTTGGATGTAATTTAAAGGTTTAAAATATCACATTGAGATTGATGAATAAATCAGTTGTGAAGACAAAAACATTGATGCCTGTTGAAAATACCTCTCCAGACAGGCAGGAAATGAAATTAGTTCCTAGTAAAGTGTGGAGATGAGGATCACTCTTCAGTTCTGCTGCAGGCTTTTTAGGACTTGCTACAGTGGCACAACGAAACTGCTAGGGCTACAGAAATCTAATTAAAGAGCAAATGTCCCTCCTGACATCAAATTAATCTTTATCAAGTTCCCTATTTTTATTTCAATCTGGGACAAGAAAATGAAATTTAAAATTCTAGGCATGTTGCAAAACAGTTGGTGATTTTCTCTTGAGCATTACAATGCAAAAACATTCTGCATTGTTTAATTAGACCTCGAAGCACTCATTTTCTGAGCACTTTTTATTTCATCATTGTTTGTTAAAGGCTTACATAAATAATACCCAAATATTTACCACAAGCCTGGTACAAGGTGTTTCCCTCTGTTGTAGAGATTTATATTTTCAAAGCTTTTTCTGTTGATGAAAAAGGTGAAGTAATTTTTGTTTGCATCTTAAACAGTACCATACTTTATCAGTCCTTCATACTGAGGTGAGGTTGCTTAAATGATTTGACTTTAACCAGCATGCTTTCCATCACCCACAGTGCAGGTATTCTGGTATCCCTCAACCCTCCAGGGGGATCACTGAGACCCTTCTAGCACTGGAGCCTGGCTTAGATACCCCTGCACCATGTTAGCATTTATCACCTGGATGTGCCCTAAGAAACAGAGCCCAATCCCAGGAAGCTGTAAACTAAATAGACTTGTGAGGTACAAGATGAAAGCATTGTTACGCCTTATTCTGCAGGTAGAAGAATTAAATTTGGCTCTGCAGCCACAACCTTGACATGAGAGGTACCAATTCAGTCCAAACACACTTGCACACGTGCTTTGCTGGAGAAAGGCAAAGCAATTTGGCTGTGGTCACACAGAAAACCTGAAAAAATATGAGAATGCATCTGCACTCAGTTCCTAAATTAAAACCCAGGACCATTCTCTGACATCTAAGCTATTTATTTATCCTAAGTCCAGAAGAAATTGAATTAATATTTTATTGGTGGTTTCTTCCTTGGATTTTGAGGAACTGTGTCCTTGCTTCATGAGTGCTGTCCAGAGAGTTTGTGGATGCTCCCTCTCCCTGGAAGTGTTCAAGGCCAGATTGGATGGACCTATCAGCAACCTGGTTTAGTGGAAGGCGTCCCTGCCCACCAGATGAGCTTTAAGGTCCCTGCCAACACAAACCATTCTATGATTTAGGAGTACTTGAGTCTCTGTGCCTGCTCACTTGCATGCTTTTCTACTGGTTACTGTCCCTATGTAGTGTTTTTCTTGTATATATGATAGATCAGGGGATATGCTACCATAGGTAAATCAGAGTGCCTGGGGGTAGGATGTGTTTCTGTGGTTGGTGTCCTCTTACCACTAAATTAAAAAGGCTTTCTGGTTGATGTTTTATATAAAAATGGTGAAGATAGTATACAAACCCAAATTTTCTGCCTTCTAATTACACAAAACTCCAATTAAAGGCATTGGGAAATCTGCTCAATTACTCTTTCCTTTGGATCTGTTGCAGGTATAGGGGTTGTCTCTGCAGCTTGCTGCAGAGGTTTAGAGCCTGGTGAAAGGGCAGTGCATGAGCATGGGGGTTACAGTCCCCATGGGTGTAATACCCATCATGGGAAGGCTTTATTTAATCTTATTAACAGGGCAGTATATAAATCACTTGGCAACTAGATGCAGAATTCAGCTGTGAACTTGCTCACTACTAATGGTCTGTTTCTTGGAGTTAACAGGGGCAAAGTGAGGTTTCCAAGAGTGTTTGAGGTACTGAAGTGTTACTCAGAGTATTCTCTATATGGAAAAGATTAAGAAATAAAGTTGCAGTCATTTATGGTCTAGAGTAACACCCATGATAAGGATGAGTGGACCAAGGTGGCCGTGCACATGAGAGGTGGGGCAAAACACCTGCAGAACCTCAGGGAATAGCCAAGGAAGAGAGATGAAAAGAAGGAAGTGATGTTCTATTTGAAGGAAGATAACTTCTGTGGATGAAGTGGGACATGGGTCATGTGAAAAATGAGAATGTTCATTTATCTTGACAAAGGGTAGTGTGGCCTTCTTAAACCTGCAGAAAAAACATCTGTCCACAAAACTGAAGGCTAATGAAGGCTGTGTAAGAAAAGCAATCACACACGATGCACTAACACTGAATTAACAAAAAGCTATGAGAGTTAATTCTATCTGTTTGTATGTGGGCTTTGGCTGGAAGAAGTGAGTTTCCAAAATAGGTATCTTGGTGCAAGTTCCATTTCTGATTTAGCAGCTACACATCCAGTTAACTTCAGTGGGAATTGTATGCCCTTGCCCCAGGAAGGAGTTTGGTCTGGATTTTTTCAGTAGACATCAATTGCTTTAATACAACGTTCCTATGAATTTACCCAGTACAGCTCTTCCTACTTTACAGGAACATGATGTACAGGGTGAACCAGATACACTAGCCTTGAAATTTCAATTGTTCTCCTGGGTTTTAAACACAATATTTAAACATCAGAATATATCAAAAGGACTAAAAATGATTATGACTTTTCATATGACAGAAAATTCAGGGAGCAGGTTAGATGTCTCTTTGTAACTTCCACTTTTTTTTCTCATCTCCTTGGTTTCAAAAGCAAGTTATTCTGTGCTACTTTCACTACATTAGTCCAACAACTGTTAAAAAGCTTTGGTTGAATTTCCGTTTAGTTGAGAGAGAAGTGCAAATAAAAGAAGCAGCAGATGGTCCCTTTGTGACTGAATGAAGAAAAAGGGTTTTGAGAACAATACGTGAATAGGTGTAGTCTAATAAAACAGTCAGCCACCTGCTGCCTACATCCTTCAAAAAGATTCTGTTGCATATTCTGGGAATTAGTGACTAGTGTGTATGCTTACATTTAATCTAAATGGAAGCTCTAAGGAGCAAACAGACCTTTTTGTCCCAGTGCTGATTGAGTTGTTCTCTTGGTTTTGAATTGTTTCTGCTCTGTCCTTTAGTTCCATCCTGTGACTGTGTAACAGCGAACAACACTTTGGCAGTGTTTCATTTCTCAAACTGAAGAAAGATTTTAAAACTTAGAAAACCTACATATTTTGGCTTATTTTAGGTTTCATAACCAAAATCACACCTGGAAAAGAAGTATTCTTTACCACTGCACAGTACAGTCTGCATTTTTACTTTTTTTTAATGCACCCAACCTGTTACTCTTTTTCCAACTTTGTAATGTACTTGTTTTCTCCTCTAGGGATTTACTCTTCAGCCTGATTATCAGAATATCATCAATCCAACATCAACAGCTGCACAAGTTGTGACCCAAGCAATGGAGTATGTTCGTTCAGGGTGCAGAAATCCTCCAGCACAGACTGTGGATTGGAATAATGACTACTGCAGTAATGGGTAAGCAGCCAGTGAATGCCACCTTGTGTTGAGCAACATTCATGACACGAGTATATGATAGAGAATTTGGGAACAGCATTGTTGCCCGTTTCCCCACAGTGTTTCTGAAGTGCATCTGTGATGGCCCTGTATTTATTCAGCAGTTAGTCTATTGTGGGAGAGCAATTGTTCAATACATACATTTATTATACATTGTTGTCACCTTACTACAGCACATACACTTTCTAGGTCTCAGAGAACTTGCATTCCACAGAAGATCAGAGCTGAAATCTTAGGGATTTCAGGAGTAAGAAAAAAGTTTTAAGATCACTGTGTCTCAATGAGAGGCAAATGACATGAACTATTTTCTAGTCTGGGTCATGAAAATAACTAAGTTGGATAATGAAAAACCACATCAGTGAGAAGCAGGGCTGATACATGGCATACAAGATACATGGAAGAGAATGGCATGAAGAACACATGATTGTAACCAGAAACAAAACACCATACCTGTAGGAGCCCTATGTCCTCAATATAAGGTTAGTAACCCCTTCAAACCTTCAACTTCTGGCAGCATGGTTTTTGTGGAGCCATGTTACTGTGCCAGGAACTGCCTGGAAACATTTAAGCCTGAACAGAAGGTATATTTTCAGTTTTAAATTATAGATGTTGTGCCTTGTGAACATGCCCACCAGCCTGAGCTCCCTTTGATTAGCCTTAATCCCCAAGGCAATGGCAGATAAAAGCTCTTGGTTGCTCCCAAAGTGCCAAATCTAGCCCAGACAAATGAATAGAAAGCAGAACTGAAGACCAGTTTCATCTATTACATTTACTTAAACCAAAAATTTCACTTGCCCTATTGTTTTAAATTGTTTCTGGAACTCAAATTAGAATGGAATAAAAATAATTTTCTGGCTACTAGTTCAGAATAACACCTTGCTACAATCTGCTGACACTGAGGTGGACTCTAGCTAGTCTGAACAGCAGCATCATTCTTTCCCATGCCTATCACTGTTGCTCCATGACTTGCCCACTTGTTCAGCAGAACAGTTTCCCTTCTGTGCTCTACCACCATGTCAAGACATGTGCTGCAGGCCCTTGTTGAAGGCTATCCAGCCCACAGACTTTTACAACCACTTACACTGACCTCTGAATAGACTGTCCTGTCAAACGAGCCACAGCCAGCTCTGGTCTCTTCTGGAACAAAGCAATGTGTCATTGTTCCCAGAAGTGCTCTCCAGGTGTGCAGTGGGTGTAACTTCCCATCCCCAGAAGGTATGCCTGTAGATAGCCCACTCTGTGTAGATGAGCCTTTGTAAATCCATGTGAACTTAAACTATCTTTGCTAAGCTTCTGCTGTCCCCTTGCAAATGCTTACCTGAACCTGCCAAGCCAGCACATTTTGTCTATATCTGTACTGGTGAATCAAATGTGCCAGAGGCTCAGTAAGTGGCTGACACCCATGCTCATGCAATGAAGCTCTCCTGCCCCTAAGGACACTGGCTGCTTCTTATAGGGCACTTATGGAGCATCATTCCAAGACCTGTGCTAAATCCAGAGCTCCAAGCAGTTTTTGATAGTCAGTGCCACCAGCCCACTAGTGCAGGTTACCCTAAACCAGTGCTCAAACCCATGTTCAAGTCCTGTGGAATTTTAAACATAGATGTGGTCTCCAGGTTGCTGTAAGTTACTGTGACTTTTTCTTATTATTACCATGGCAATGCAGCTGAACTTCAGTGATATGCTTGGAGTTAATGACATGCACTGGGGTTGTGGGGCTGATCTTTTTTTTTTTTCTTGAAGAATAGAACTAAAAATTTTTCAAATATTAAAAAAAGTCACATTTGTTCTTTTTCTCTTTGAACAGGGGCATGCAGAGGGACAAAGCACTCTACCTTACCTGAAAATCTGAAACACCTCTCCTTTCCTTTCACTGAGGAATGCAGGGAAGTCTTTTCATCATGGATTGCTTTATGCAGTCAGGGCAGTTCTGCATTTTATTAGAAAATACAAGTTGCTAAGCACTTAGGACTATTTGAGCTTGTGGGTCACCCACTCTGGAAAAAATAGTCTTGCTTCTTTCCTTTTCTTTGTTTTTTTTTCTCCATTTTTTCTCTTTCTTTCTCCTTTCCACCCCTTCCCTGAGATCCTATAACGGACATTGCTTTTCTTCTTCCCTGAAGGAAACTTGGACCATTCAGATTTTATGTTGGTTTTTGCTGTGAAGTGCTGCGGTAGTAACTGCCTTAGCAACTGTAGATGTCTCGGATAAAAGTCCTGGATTTTCCATTGGTTTTTCATAATGGGTGTTTATATGAAACTACTAAAGACTTTTTAAATGGCTTGATGTAGCAGTCATAGCAAGTTTGTAAATAGCATCTATGTTACACTCTCCTAGAGTATAAAATGTGAATGTTTTTGTAGCTAATTGTAATTGAAACTGGCTCATTCCAGTTTATTGATTTCACAATAAGGGTAAAATTGGCAAACATTCATATTTTTACTTCATTTTTAAACAACTGACTGATAGTCTATATTTTCAAAGTATTTGGAAAAAAAAAAGTAAAGTAGTCCCAAATTATATTAATTAAAAATATTGGCTTTGTCTCATGAAATAAATACAAAAAAACTTAGGAGAAAAAACTAATGTTGATAAGAGCAAGAACATTTATTTTGTACTGCCTAAAAAAATGGTTTTTTTTTAAAGAAAATCACTTTATGTGTACTGGTTAGTAAACGTCATTTAAGTCCTTTTATGTATAAAACTGCCAAATGCTTACCTGATATTTTATTAGATGCAGAAACAGATTGGAGACAGCTAAATTATAACCTCTACATATGGCTATGTATTATTGTTTCTTCATACTGTGTCTGTATTTAATCTTTTTTATGGAACCTGTTGCGCCTATTTATGAAATAATAAATATAGGTGTTTGTAAGTAAATTTGTTAGCATTTTAAAGAGGTTTCTTTGACGCTTTAACTTTTGCTGGCACAAATTGTTCACAACTGATGATGTGAATACTTTATTTAGTTTTTACAGTGACAAATATAACAACAAACCTGCTTTAATGGCAGAAAATGAAGGTAACCAAGAATTATTTCTCTATTTCTTTGGTTGTTATGGAAAATGAAAAAAAGGTATTTTAAGTAATTCCCTTTTTAAAGCATTGTAGGAGGAAGCTCCCCAAAACTAAAACTTGAACAAACAAAACTAACTGAATAAAACTGCATAACACTGCTTCTTGAAACTTCATAATGTTTTGTTAATTTTTCAAGTGGAATAAACATATTGCCAAAAGAAATGTTACCAAATATGCTTCAGCCATTTTATTATATATGCAAAAGTCCTGCAGAATTTTAGGAAGTATATCAGAAATATATCCTAAAATGAAAGGTAAGTTCAACAGCCACAGGGAAAGGGATAAAAAAATCCAAAAGAAGGTATTTTGTCAATGTTTGGGATCAGGGATATCTCTGAAAATATATTTTTGGATGATTTTGTCCCAGATGCCTGTCCCATTAATGGACACCACCACTGATTTGTATTTTCTGTGTGAAATAAAGGAAGCAATTCGGATAGAACATACATTTGGCAATGCCGTTGGTTTTTCTTTATAAAACAAAACAGAAACAAAGGCATGCTTGCTTCTGAATGATTTCAGGCAATGTACAATCAGAATCACTTGGCATGTAATAACTAATAAATAATGCAGATCAGATGTGATTACTCAAATAACTGTAGCTGAGAGCTCTAATTTTCCTGTCTTGAAACTGTATGAGAACTTGTGATTAAATTCACAGTTTATTGTTTGTCTGTTTAGTACTTTAGAAATATACCAGCACTACTAATTACCCAATGTCTTCTATTTATTATATTACAGTAAACTACATTTTCCACTCATATTAATTCTAAAGAGAAAAGATAATTACTGAGAATGAGAAAAATCAACTTTGATTTTGACAGGCAGTTTTCTTTCTTCTTTTATGGAAAAGAACTGTGTTATCTTCATTTCTTTTAGAGCAGGTGTGCAGTCACATAAAGTTGTTAATTTCGGTATCCAAGCAGAGTTCGAAATACAAGAAAACTTTAATGTAAATAAAAAAATACATCATGAATAAAATACTTATTCTGTATGAACCTCTGGCTAGTTGGTGTCTCAGTCTGTCAGCATGGGAACCTGTGGAGTGTTTGCTGTGCAGCACTTTACCCATCCAGTGCTCTGTATGTGATTCTGTGTCCAGTCTCTGCTCAGATGAAACGACTGTGCTGGAAGAACAGCAGGTTTTGGCCATGGGTATACTGAAACCATTTTTTTCCCCAAAAGAAAGATTCAATCCATAGATGTCAATTCTTCATGTCTGACCTCAGAAAAACAAACGGTTGCCACCCATGCTGTTTGGTTTCAGCTGTGTATTGACAGACATAAATTGACAATAAATGGTAGAGATCCTTCTGTGAGCAGGTGAAACTCCACTGGAATTGCTGAAGTGGTGCCCCATCCTTCACTGGAGCACTGTTCCTTGGGCACCACAGTAACACAGACACCCCAGTCACTGGTTGTATGTCACCATCTGGCCTAACCATGATAATGAGAAAGCACACGGGAATTAAACAACCTGCACATGGAAGCAACACAGTAACAGCAAGAAAATATAATAAAAACATCTGTCAGTGATAGAAACCAAAGGAAATGGTCTGCCATTCATTGAAAATAATATACTTTGAAATTATTTTTTGAGCATGGTAAACAGAATGCAAAGTTGGCAACATATGCATTCTGCAGGTTGTAAATTCCATCTGCTTGCACAAGGTAAGCAGAGGTTTTAAAAAGGAAAAGCTCTTTGATTTTACTGCTGCTCTCAGTGTACCATGAGATACTGGTGACAGGAGATATCCTGGTCTCTCTATCCCCAGACTCACATGTGCTCCAAGCAGAAATCTCATCCAGCTGCTGCCTCTGACCCAAGAAGCCAAATTCTAATTCAAATGGGCCTGCCATAGGATTTTCCCCTCACACTCATCTGCAGGCAGCAAGTGAGTAATGTATTCATAGAGGGCCCCAGCCATTCACAGGGAAATGTAATGTATTCATGCCCACTTCTCTCTCTCTCACCAAATACCAGCTCCTGATTCCAGTGGTGTCTGCCAAATATTCCCTCTGAGGCTCCTCTGTAAACAGGCAACCCAACAAAAACAGAGCTCATTACTGGAAGGTAAAACACGCTCTTACCACCTTCTTTAGCCTTTCGAGACATCACCCCACCCTGAACTACCATCTCCAAGCCTGTTTGTTCCCCAGTCCTGTAAACACATGGCAGATCTACAGAGATATCTTTCTGTGCTCTGGAAAATGGAGTAGGTAAAAATCCGTATTTTGCACATACTGTGAGAATTAGCTAAAGAGATGTTATGTAGCCCATACTGGAGTTACTCCCCTGGACTCCAATTGAAAGGTAGATATAGAGATACAGATACAGTCAAAAAAGCTATAGATAGGCAGGGAGACAGACAGATAAACAACCATTATCCTGTTAATTATTTTTTCAGGTGTTTTCAAGCTCTTTTGCATTAAAATAAAATATTGTTTTGTGGGTATAGCAGCATGCTGGCAATGCTGCAGGAAGTGCTGAGCACCGTGGAGAACAGGAGGTGCTTTGTGTCAGGTCTCACAGACACCATTTGCTTTCCTTTGCAAACCTGTGTATTTTATTATTACCCAGCAGCACATTAAATCACATCTCAAATGTAGCTCTTACTTCACCAACAGGAGGACAAGTGAGAACAATGACTTGTAACATTTCAGAGTCTGTCACAGTTACTGCCTAATTAGAGAAACCCACTAGCAAATGTGCATCTGCATGGACCCTGTGACTGTCATCATTTCACATTCTATTAAGGACTTGCTGTGATAGACACTTAACAAAGAAATTTTGTTCAGGCTAATACCAAGCTGGCAATCATATAATCGGCCTGAAAATAAAATGAAAGGAGGGGGGAAAAGGGAAAAAAAAAGAGAGAGGGTGGGAAAAGGAAAAGAAAAGGAAGCCTACCTATTTGGAAAACAATCTGTGTGCAAAAATCAGTATACTGCAGAGAAGATCCTTACCCTCTGACAATTGTGTGTTTACAACGAGTCTGAGTATAATTGCTCTGATGGGCTGTCAAGGAAAAGATTAATTTGGCAAAGATTAGTATTGACTTGCTGTTTATTAAGGCTTTTAAACAGCTGTATCTGGCAACATTCCTATAAGTGCTTGTCATGTCTGAAAATCAGGCTCACACCCGGGTGCTTGCCAGCTGTTGCTAAACAATCTTACCACTTAGAGTATCTTTCTCCAGGCCAAACAGCAAGAGCAAAGTATTTCCAAACCAGTCTCTTTCATCCTGTCACTTTTCAGGGGATCTGAGAGCTCAGCTATCAGTTGATGGCTGAACGGCTGAGCTGATAGCAGCTGCCAGGAGAAGCAGGGTGGTTGGAGAGGTGTTACACCATGCCTAGGGCAGGGGTGCTGCTCTTAGTCACCTCACCAACATGGAAAAGCACAGCTTGCAACTGGTGTTATGCAAAGGGGCTCTAAACCCTTTAATGTCTGGCATCCAAACTGGGTAGGAGGCAGAACTCCAGAGCACGTGGTTCATCCCCTCGGGCTCTAATGGATAAAGCCAACAGGATAGGAGGGTATAGTAGCCACCATTAATCTTTATAAAATGAACCAACATTTTCTTCTATGACTTTTTTACCCAGACTGCTGATAAACAAAAGTCATAAAAGCCATGCACACAAAATACCCTGGGTCAGTGGAAACCTGTAAAAGGAAAGATGTCAGCTGTTATTTTTGTTACATTACTTAAAACATTTCAGCTGGCATTGTAGGCTTTAGTAGCAAGCTCAGAAACAAATAATAGCAGTGGAAAGAAGGATAAACGGCTGCAGCTAAATGCCAATACAAATAGCCATGTGTTACAATTAAAGTTGATTTGGCCTTTCAAATAGAAGTCTGATTTTCTGGGATTAATCTCGACCTTTTCAAGTTGCATCAGGCTGAAATAAGTTGTCAGAACAGATGTGAATTTTGTTTGCAGAGAACAATTGTAATCCAGTAACCCTTGGAACATCAGCATTTTCCAGACTGCCGGCCAGCTGAGCAGTGAGGATGCAGACGGCAGACACCGAGCGCACACAGCAGGCAGAACCAGACAACTCAGAGCTGTGACCAGAGGCTGGATGTTTAGTTCAAACTCAAACCAAAATACTTTCCCTTTTAACTCTGAATTTGCTGAACAGCAGGGCAAATTCACACAACTGCCTAGGGTTTTCCAGACTGCCGGCCAGCTGAGCAGTGAGGATGCAGACGGCAGACACCGAGCGCACACAGCAGGCAGAACCAGAAAACTCAGAGCCGTGTCCAGAGGCTGGATGTTTAGTTCAAACTCAAACCAAAATACTTTCCCTTTTAACTCTGAATTTGCCAAACAGCAGGGTGTATACACAACTGCCTAGGGAAAAAAAATTAATGTCAGATCAAGGATGGATGTCTTTGTTATCTTTATAAACCATGTTCTTTAGCTAAATCAAACATCCAAGTAGGTGATTCCATGGACCACTTTTTCACAGAAGGCTGGGCACACATTTTGTAATGCAGAAGTCTCTGAAGGCTCCAAGAATCCCACATTTCGGTTGCTGCTCTAAACTGCTTTCTAAGAAGTCCTGCCTTACAATCTACCTGTCTCCAATACCTTCAAAAAATAAAATAGAAAAGAAGACAAAGAAAACCTCCACTGAACATTCAAGTTTCTCATACTTTGATACATGGAGTCAAAAATTTCCCAGCTTTATGCACAGCATATATGGTGACCTTGGTGCTCCCATAGTGCCAAGTTTCAGTGGAAAGAAAGAAAAGTCCAAAACCTTTGCAATATGGGCTGGGGATGGGTCACACAGGGTGCTAGCACAATACCTGTGGCAGCATAATCCCCCTGCAGATACAAAGCCCACAAACTGCTTTTGTAATTTCAGTTTTCTTCAGTGAAACACCTGGATCCTTGTTTGTGCCATCAGTACAATCCTATTTTTAAATACTGAAGATGCAAGAAAGATTTTTTTCCTGCTCTCTATGTAGCACTGCTTAGATAGCAACATGAAGATCCAAAGTTCATTCAAAAACATGTCACCACTTGAATAAATAAGGCTGATGCCCTAATTAGCAGAGGAAGCCTTCATGTTTTGCTCAGAGTTCAAAATAATGAGCAGAGCCTCTCCTCTCCTCTGGCATACAAGCACGTGCTGCATGGTTTTGTTAAAGAAATGAAAATGAAAGGACATAAGTGATGTGCCCAAGGACACAGAGTAATTTAGAGGAAAGGTAGCTGAGATCTGAGAGTTTTGAAAAACAGTCTTCTGCTTTAGTCATAACTAAAGTTCAAAATATGTGAAGTGGTGCTCAGATCCATGGGCACAGCTTTAACTTAAGTGAGATTTAACAAATAATAAATAGGAAAAAGTTGCCAGGTTTTATTTGTCTTCAGCAGTTTTCCACTTTTAAGTCATATGTGGACAGCTGAGTGCTATTTTCAAACTTCTGTAAATTAATTTTTTAAAAGTAAAATAAAAAGAGAGTGACATCGGAATAATCTCTGGTTCCAGGTTCCTGGAACCTTTGATTAAAATATCAAAGCTTGTGAGACTGGAATTTTGACTATACCATTCATATCCCTGAAACTGATTTTTTTCTTTTTTTTTCTTTTTTTTCAGAATTTCTGCCTAGAAGTCAATGAAGATTTTTACCTACCTTTCTACATCAGACCTAACAGAGCGCCATACACAAACATATATCTGCCACCCAGAAAACTGATTAGATTCACCAGGAGAGAGCCATGGCAGCTGAATGGGACTGTCCTGCATCTGAGCCCGCAGCAGAAGCTGCCCTCTGCCAGCAGGCTGGAAGCAGCCACAGTGTGAGCTCCTGGAGGGAAGGTCCTGCCTCTGCAGCACATGGCTGATAGATTTTCAAGGCTGAGTATTTCTAAACTCTCAAGGGAGCATTTTTTGAGGACAATTTGAACAGAAGTCAGAAATAGG